GTCGAAACTTGCTCATTACTTCACACAGTGCCTGCAAAAAGCACCATCTGGATTATTTCCTGTAACATTCAGGGACAGACAGAGCATTGTCTAAATGAAATCTCAGATCCCAACTCTGCCATGTACTAACCATTTGATTTTGGACAAGTCACTTAACCTCTCTGAGCCCATTTCCTTGTACTGATTTTTCTCATAAAGTTGTAATTAGAAGTCATAACATGTGTGCTCTTGGTAGGATACTTGACACATAGGAGGAGTTGGATAAATGACTGTTATTTTTTTTATGAAAAGCTTTATCTCTCTAGAAGAACCAAGCATGCTTCCTCCTTTCTGATCAGGAGAGCTGTATAATGGACTGTTTGTCTTTTTCCCTGGCTGCCAGGAAGCTCAGGGCCAAACCCGAAGCTCAGCCACAGCATCTCTAGTAACCCTATGGTCAGCATGCATGCTTCCTCTTTCCTTAGTACTGGGCTTTCACTTCTGGTTTATTATCTTTATCGCCTCTTGCAGTGAGCCATCTTAAATCCTGTTTGGAAAGAGGTAGTGTATAACTATAATCAGTTGTTTTCTTTCCCCCAACGTCTATCCCTCTCCAGGGCCAAGAGCCTGGCTGGCAGAGCTTGGGCAGCTCCGTGTTCCCATCCCCAGAGGAAGCACCATCTGCCACCAGCCCTGGCACTGAGCCCACTGGCACCTCAGAGCCACTGGGAACAGGCACTGTGTCAGCAGAGCTGTCCAGCCCGTGGGCTGCTGGGGACTCAGATCGGAGTGAGTGCCTGAGTGTATGTGTGTTGGAGGAGGAGTGGGCAGTGGGAGGGGCCAGGGCTGGGATCTATTCTCCTGCCTCCCAATAGGTACTAATGCTCTGACAGACCCAGTCACGGACCCTGGACCTAACCCCTCTTCTGACACAGCCATATGGCGCCGCATCTTCCAGTCCTCGTACATCCGGGAGCAGTATGTGCTTACCCACTGCTCTGCCAGCCCAGAGCCAGGCCCAGGCTCCACAGGCAGCAGCGAGTCCCCCGTCTCCCAGGGCCCTGGGTCCCCTGAAGGCAGTGCTCCCCTGGATCCCCCTTCTCAGCAGGGCTGCCGCAGCCTGGCCTGGGGAGAATCTGCTGGCTCCCACTCCTGCCCCCTGCCTCCACCCCCACCGCCTCCAGTCAAGGTGAGATTCAATCTACATCCATCTACCATGTATCCAGCAAATATTTATTGACCATTGGCTGTATGCCATAAATTGTGCAGTGGTTACTATTAAGTCTACCTGAAGAAATAGATGGGTAATGATGGTATAATGTATAGTGATGATACATACCATGCAACATACATTGATGAGCACAGGGATGTGGCTTTATGGGGGTTCAGAGTCAAGGTGACTAACCCTGTCTGAGGGAGTCAGGAAAGCAAGAGCCACCTCTGGAAGAATAAGAAGTTAGCTAGGCAAAACGGGAGAAGACATGAATAAAAACAGACAAGCAATAACCTCAACTGAGACATAGGCATGGAGTGAGATGATGATGGGAAGGGGATCAGGGGCCAGAAGGAGTCTGGCCTCACCCCTAAGGGTGGTAAGCAGCCATCCAGGGTTCCAGACAAAGGGGCATGTGGCCAGCTGTGTATGTATGTCTGATGGCCAGGAGCTCTGCATTCCTTGACCATTGGACCCCCCCCCCCCCCCT